AAATCCATGGGGGAGTTTGGTTCGCATAATGTTTTTGAATAAGATGAAATCTGTTAAAGAAATTTGACTTTCAAGGAATTGGAATGAATTGTTGTCGGGTTATACCTTGGTATTGAATCCATTAAGGAATTGAAATTTGTCTGTTTAGTTCACAGAATGTAGCTTTGGAATTTAAATGAAATATTGGTAAATGACCAAAATGCCCTTTTTGAAAATTTTAAATTTTTTTAAAAGTAAAAATATTTTAATAAATAAAATATAACCATAAACCAAACCACGTTACTAAATTGATATTAAAATTGTCTCAAATAACTAATTCTTTATCATATAAAACAACTAATTCATTGGTGGTTCAGATTGACGGGGCTCAGTTGTGGTTCAGATCAATGGTGTTCGGCTGTGGTTCAGATCAACGGTGTTTGACAGTGGTTCAGATCAGTGGTGGTCCACGGTAGTTCAGATCGGCGATGGTCCACAGTAGTTCAGATCGGCGGTGGTTGGCAGTGGCTCAGATCGGTGGTGGTCCGTTGTGGTTTAGATGGCAGGGTGGTTCAGATGATGGTAGTCGACAGTGGTTCAAATCGGTGGTGGTTCGTAGTGGTTCAGATCGGCGGTGGCCGATGGTGGTTTGCGGGTGGTCGGCAGTGGTTCAGATCAGTGGTGGTCAACGATGGTTCAGAGCGGTAGTGGTCAACGGTGGTGGTCGACAATGGTCATATTGAGTTTTATGAGATTGGAATATATTAGATTAAGGGCATATTCGGTATTATGAAAATAGAAAATTTCATTCCATCAAGATATCATGTAGTTGCTAAGAAATGTTAAATTCTTTTATTTGTGAAATTTGTAGGATTTTAAAGATTCATTTCGTAAAAAGAATGAACCAAACGAGGAAATAAAGATTTGGCAATGGAATTTAACATTCCAATTCCATCATATTTTTTCAGAATCTACGAACAAAACAACCCCATAGGATTTGGATCGCTTTCATATTCTAATACGACCCAACTTGTTGTGTTGAATCCAATCAACACAACAGGTCTGGTTCGTATCATGTTCGATCCTATGTAACTTCATTACCTCATCCTGATCCAAAAGTAAAACCAATAATGAGCATGTATTACGCATGAAAACAAAAGTTGTTCAAACAAATACGCCATTTATTTCGTTATACGATAGCATAACCCTATGCTATCGTGCAAACCTGACCGTCAACAAAGCTTTTAAAAGGGGAGATCGGTTTCGGTACCAAACCACCCACTCACACCCGAATTCATTACTACGACTTGACTCAACATGGCTAGTGATTCTAAGTGAGTTTATGGATGGTTTTCATATCAACGGCTTCGGGCAAGGTTCCCTTATGGACCCGGTCCCACCACTCGTACAAGAAATTGTCAACGATTAACCTGAACCATGGGGAGAGCTTCAGACCCTCTTCCCCAGCATCTGCCTTCCTTACCAACTCTTTCAACTCTTCCGCATTCACATACTTTACATCTTTCACTTCATCTGGATTAGGATTCACACCAACATCACGTACGATGAAAAGCAGGTAATCAACTGCCAATTTAGACCAATACAAAAGTTGATTACAACATTATACATCATAAGAAATACAAAACCAAAACAACCCAAACAGGTCGGGGGGATGTATATAGAGCTGAACTCCGTCCCAAAGAATAGAACAATTGTTCCCGTGGAAGACCTTCCAAAAAAAGGATAAACCTTTTGCTCAAAATATTTGCGGAGATAAAACAAAAGAACTTGAAATAAGAAAGGCAGTACCACAAAAAGAATTTGAGGTTAAAAGTCAAAGGCTTGTGTTCCACAAAAAGGGTCTAACGTCATCCTCTAGAACGCCACCACCATACTGGTCCCACGGCCATCATGGGGAGGTAAGGCCGTTTACCAAATATTTACCAGGTAAGCCTTTACCAGTGTCGGTTACCTTACATGGTTAAGCATGACATTACAATGACCAAGAATCTTACCCGGTAAGAGGCATTGCAAGAACCGAGAATTTTACGATAAGTGAGAAAGAAGACTCTTACCCGGTTAGTGGTTAATAGAATAATAGGTAACAGACGCTTACCAACAATTCATTTTGATGGCAAAAATATTACCCGATAAGAAAATGAGGGTGGTGATGGTGACTCTTGTCGGTAAGTGCTTACTGAATAAACGTTTGGTAAACAACCCCTAAGTCAAAGGTCTGTGTATAGAAGTCAACTGTGCCACTTCTTACGGAAGCAACGGAGTGATGGTAATGGATGGTTTAAAGAGTAGAATTCTCAAAAAATGAGAAGGGCGGGATGGAAATAATAAAAGCTTAAATAATTGAAAAACAAACCCTAAAAACTCAACTAAATTGATCCATCTCTACTAATATGAAGAAAAACATAAATCATGCATCACCTCTTTCTCATAAGTTGATGTTAAATATTAACTCGAAAATATCTGGTTTGACCACAAGTGAAACTCTGAGTCTCTCTTTGGGGAGGATATGGTAATGTTTAAGTGTATGCTTCTAAGAGCCGATTGGCATTCATGTTTGTGCAACTATTTCAACCGAACTACTACAATGGACGTCATTCAAAGTGATGCATTGTGGCCATATGGTTGAGAGGGCAAAGACGTGAATTTGAGCAGGAGATTGAACACATTAAGATACAAAATAAACCGAGATAAGAGATGTTACGTTCATGTTCTCCCCATTTCCCATCGGATGGAGCCTTGTACAGAATGCGACCTAAGGGGGTAAACTGATCAACTGGAACATCTTCAGCAGGGATACCGAGTTCATCCAAGAGCTTCCTCTGTGCAGCGTTCCTGACCCCTAATAAAATTACGACAAAAATAAAAATGAATTCCTCACGATAACTACAATAAAAGGTATTGGGATATCGCATTACCAAGGGCATTTTCGTCAATAAGCTCAGTCTCCCTGTATAGCGGGTGGCTGCAACAAGTGTTTGTCCATACCAGAGGAAAAGTCACCTTGGTAGCAGACCGTTGCTGCGGATATACCACATGTTAGAAAGTTCAATCTAAAAAAGTTGAACAAAATGAATACAAAAGTAAAAAAAACAAAAGAAAACCGAGTACAATGTTAAAAAGCAAAAAGGTACAAGATCATTCAAATGCATAGAATGGAAACAAAACTGAACCAAACGGACACAGTATATCCCACTTGAAAGTAAGGTCTGGGAAGGGTAGGATATAAGCAGACCTTATCTCAACCACCAAGATTGAGAGGTTGTTTTCATGAATACCCTTGGCTTTGCACAAAACAAAGGTGAGTGCAGCAGGCAATAAGACTTATAATATAACAGATAGAAAAGGATCAGTTAAAACCAAGATGCCTTTGGTCCATGGTTCAAAATAAGGCTCTATGACCCTCTGGTTGTGAGTCAAAGTCTCTTTTGAAGGCATGTGTAGGTGAGTTGGTTTGCTGTTTCAAAAAAATAAAAAAATAGGAACCTTTTAGATATTAAGAATAAAAGAAGAAATTCTTGTTTGATTATTTTCTTACACAAATGATATTTTCATGTCTAAGCAAATTGTGGAATTCAAGACTGATGGATCTAGCTCTAACTTCAGTTTATGTGATGATACACAAGATAGATGGGAAGACAATGAGACAAACTACATGTGATCTCCACATCAGTTAAGATCAACTATTGACCCTCTTTAAATACTAGCGCATCCTAAACAAAAATAACAAGAGAATCGGGAACAATATTGGACCATTTAGAGGGTAATGATGCAGGTGAGATCCATGCTGGTATAATATCTAATCCTCCCTCAGTCCCAAAATAAGTGTCTACAATAGAAACGGCACACAGTTTTATACATGCATAAATATCACACTTTTTAGTCAACCAAATGACAACTTTACCCTTATTTAATTTCCTTCTCTTTACAACTCTTAAATATTTGTGCATTAATTAAGGGTAGATTTGAGAATTTAGTTATCTATTTTTGAAATTGAACACTTCTATCGGACAAACATAAATAGAAATGTATGACATTTATTTTGGAACGGGGGGAGTATTACCAATAGAGATTATTTACAGGGGACAATGTGAAAGACATATGAAGGAAGAAGAAAATCACTAACCATTTTAATGTTAGGTAATCAGAAAATCTTTCATATTACTAAGCACGTTTGTAGTGATGACGCAATATGATAACCAGAATCATATTATAATGTCAGGATTACTAGTGTTACCGAGTCCATGTAGCACTAAAACAGATTAAAATGATTTATTCAGTTGTGCAATGCATTGTTAGCATGTAACCATGAAGTCAAAGAGCTCATTGTCCACTTAAGTGTCCCTTTACTTGAAGTCTAATGGCAGATTATTGGTCAAGTGTTGAGAGTTCCCAGCGTCTCTCGTTTTGGAGGATTATTGGTGTTGGAGAAATGTTGACACCAATTTGTAGATTATTTATAATCTTGACAAATCATACTATTAGCCCTTGTATTCACACGCTCCTGAATCTCCTACCTCAATATTAGCACAGGATCCCTAAGAGAGTTGATTACCAGTAAACACTATCTCAGGCAGTGCCATATAATTGTGTCTCTGCCAGTGAATACCTTAGGAATAAAGAAACTACAGAATTCACAATGATGTGGTATATGTGGTAATCATCATAAGATTCCATCACTAATGATGAAAAACAAAAGCAAAAATAAATGAACAATTAATGCTCAGCATATATATATATATATATATATGTGTGTGTGTGTGTGTGTGTTGTGTGTGTGTGCAATTAGTCGTTTGTTATGGAACAAGACTGGTAAAGTGGGACTTTGTTATTGAATATGCATATGTGCAATTATACCAGTAAAGATAGGAGGGGCTAGTTATGCAAAAGCCACCTCCTAGTAGACGATATTTTCTTGCAAACATAAGCGCTACTCAGCATAGCATATCCTTTGATATACCTGAAGGAGTAACTCGTGTTTTGAGTTGAACAAGAAGACACTGAATGCTCTGTGTAGCAAATTTTCTTTTTCAATCTTCTCCATCAAGTGGCCTGCATATTCAGCAATGTTTTTTTCAATAATACAATCATGACAGCGATATTAAGCAACCAATAATTTTATGATGTCCTGATGATTAATTTTTTTAATCAGTGGTCATCATTGTGTTGACATAACGGACATACAATTACCAGGTAAGCAAGTAGTACTTGTTAAGCTATTGATACATAAAAGTTAAGACGAGGCTTATATGGGCCACAGATAAAAAAAAAACTGTGGAATGTCCTATTCATCTTTAGAAACAGTAGCACACATTAGCATCTTTAGCATGTATGTCTCCATTTAACATTCCTCGCAACTTATTTAGTGAGTTCTATAGCAAAATCCATCCTTGTGAACAAGGTGGTTGATGAGTTGATGATAGAAAAGTAACCAAGGTAATAGAACAAGGTCTGTAGATTAAAAGTAAACCAACTGTGTCCCAACAACTATATGTATCATCAATATCATAGGATAACAACTATGATGTTAGTATTTGTCATTTCAAACAAACCCAACTCTGATAAGAGGAAAGCATCCAGCAATGAGAAATAAGGTCTATATATTAGAAGTATATGATCAACTGGATCTTTCTAACAAAATGGTGCTAATAAGCTCTCTTATGATGTGGAACAATGGAAGGACTTTGTTAAAACTGTTTTCACTTATCAAGTGCATAGTGGACTTGGAAATAAAGTTTTATGCCGCTTGTGCCTTTGTAGCAGAGACACATAATCAATTTTCACATTAAACAAGCTCACAAGAGATGCTCAATGGCGACAAGACACCCATCTTTTATCAACTGGTCTGCATGCAAGCATTAATGAATAGAGAGATTACCAAAATGTAACAGCGAATTGAAATAATTTATTTCTTACATTATGCGCAATGGAGAAAAGACGTACTGAAAACATGTTGCCTAGTAAACAATAGCCTCCATTCTTACAATACTAAAGGTCTCAAATAATGGAAGCAGACTTCTTTGGGTGAATTGGTAGAAACAGTCAGATTGTTTTCCATATATAATGGTTGATTTCACTTTTTGTAGCAAAACCACAAGAGTTTTATTGTACAAGATTCTTAGTCATAAATGACATTTATACACTAACATAATCTCACCAATACAAAAGGAATTTGACACAGATAGTTTAGGAGTTATATACAAAATAAATTTCACCAACACATACACTGCCTTAAACTTTTCTTGCACCAACAGAAATACTTTAGGAACTACTTTTAGAACGGTCAATTTGATGAGAAGAATAGAATGCACAATCTTAGGCACAATATGTGCTTAGAGAATTACAACATTCAAGCCACTCCAAAGCAGATAAGCGAAATCATACTTACAATTGTATTTGGTATCATGGCCAACAACTTTGTCATTCTCATCCACCAAAATGCATCTGCAGAAAATTTGAAGGCCCAAAAACTGTCACTAAATTGGCACAGCCCATACCTTATGAAGTCAAATACCGAAACTTGAATGTAAACATCAAAATCTTTCATAAGTTGATTGACCCCAGACAGGAAAAAGAAGTAACTCTACTTTTTTATAATAGTTCTCAATTATTAAATTAAAAAAATTCCATGAATTAAACTGAAACATAGAATCAGAATTCAAACCTACATAATAGTAGAAACATACGCCACATGATCTTGGTCAATTTAATATGAAGATAAGAATAAAGAAAAATCTTTTAATAGCCTCTTCTTTATTTTTAGACCAAACCAGTCCATCAAAAGGTTTAAAATTCTTTGCATATGACTAGCCCACAAACCTGAGCCAGCTTGTTAAACAAATATGAGATGCTCCAACCACCAAAACCAGAAGTCAACCAAAACAAATAAAATAAGATGAACACAAATTTTAGTAACGTTATCAAGTGGATCAAAAGAAATTGAATTTAGTAACATATTACTCCTCTAATTCACAGCATGTGGGTTGACTGGGTTTGTGATTGATTTTAGAACTTCCTAGAACACTGGCATACTTGCAACTTTACAGTAACTTATGAAGAGCTGTTGCTTCTTTTTCTGACCGAGTAGCACCTTACTTGTTAAGATACAGAATAACTTAAAATATTGCGAGAACAAGAGACTTTAAGCAATTTCTATGGTTGTTTAGCATAAAAATACAAATACTGTGGTTAGAAATGTTCGCACCAATAACTACGCTAGAACGAGCCTAAAAAAATCTCAACATTTACAATTTCATTGGTCATTTTACATCAAAAACACAAGTAGTATGGTCAGAAATGCCCACTCCAGCACAGTTTAGGCGTTCTTTCTCCATTTCTTTTAACAGTGAAACTACAATTAGCGTTAAAATCAGAGTAGAAATAAACATAGGGCTAAACTTGAAGAGAAAACTCAATAAAGTTGTAGTAAATGAAGCAAAAGAGAAAACCGACTCGTCTTCGAACATGAGACGTCTCTGGACAGCATCCATGCCGGAATCGTCACCCATGTCGAGGGTGGAAAAAGGGCGGAAGAGAACAGTAGCGACGGTGAGAGAGGGGAATCGAGTGAAGGGAGATTTAGGAGGTAGACAGAAGGAAGGATATGGAGAAGAGAGGATGGTGGTAGCAACGGTTTTAAAAGGGGGAAATTTCAACATTTTGGCGAATAGGACTTGAAGATCCGTTGCCAGTTGTTGAAATCAAAAACAAAAACGGCGATATCCACCTAACATAATACTATCAATCAATCCATGAGCATTTACAAAAATTAAAATAACCTTTTTGGTTCTCGTAATAAAATCTTTGGGAATTGAAATCTGTTAATTAAATTGATTATATGCTTGGTCAGTAGAAACTAGAATTTATCTCTTCAGAGTTTAATGTTATCAAGTATTTTTGGTATAATTATAAATTACTTGAGATCGACTAGATTACACGGCAAACATAACATGAATGAGGATGTGTGGAGTATACACTCACAAATGTTAGACATATCACCTTAGATCGTCTTAAGGTGGGGTCAAGGGGTTGCACCCTCATACGGGGCGTCCAAAGGGTAGTGCCTCGAAACTTTTACAGGTTCTATGAAAAGGATTATTTAGGTGGCGTTTGGTTCACAGCTGAATTGGGATATGTCAAATGAATTGGAAGGAAATTTAACCAGGTTTTATTTTGTGTTTGATTTGACAGGAATTTGAATGGAATTTGTGAAAACAATTTGAACTTGTTTGTTTGATTTGCTAAATATAACTTCAAAAAATAAATTACCAAAACGTCCATTTATAATCTGTTTGTTTGGTTCATTGAATATATTGGTGGTGGTGGGATGGAGACGATAGTGGTGTCTATGGTAGTGACTAGTGGTGGTGAGTGGTAGTAGTAATGGCGGTGGTGACGACAACCAACGACAATGATGGCGACGACAACCAACGACAATGGTGGTGGTTGGGGTGAAGGTGATGGTGATAACGGTAGTCAGGGTAAATGCGAAAATGATAATTGTATAGAAATTAATGGCTCAAAGTTATTTTCTTTTCATTAATGGTTAACAGAATAAATATAGGAAATAAGAAAATAAAAATGGAAGTCCCTAAACTTAAGGCACAAGGTAAGAGAAGATAACTATGGAAATTATTCTATTCCAATACTCCCTCTCAAGTTAGAGCATGGAGATCTCGAGAGCCCATCTTGTCAAGTAAGAAACGAAGTTGTGAAGCACACAACCCTTTGGTGAGAAGATCAGCAATCTGCATTTTGGAGTCAATCGGGAAAGGTTGGATTTCTTTGGAATCAACTCGTTCACGAACAAAAAAAAACAATCCATCTCAACATGCTTAGTTCGCTCATGAAACACAAGATTATTAGTTATGTGATGAGCAGTCTGATTGTCAGAGAACAATGGGTTTGGGCCAGCGGAAGCAACATTGAGTCCTTGTAGGAGCCATCAGACCCATAGGATCTCGCTAACAATGGAAGCCATCGATCGGTATTCTGCTTCGGTAGAGGAACGAGAAACAACGGACTGCTTCTTAGTTTTCCAAGAGATGGCAGCACCACCTAGAAGAAGAACATAACCGGTCCTGGATCAACGTGTGTAAGGACATCCAAGCCAATCAGAGTCACAATAGGCCGTAAGAGTATAGCCGCCTGGCCGCAGAAGCAGAACATCTTATCCGGGTGTGGTTTTCCGGTATCAAAAGGTGCGATCCAACGCATCCATGTGGGGTTGTCGTGGATCAGCCACAAATTGAGACAAGATATTGACAAAGTAGGCAATATTCGGTCGAGTGGCTTGCAAATAAAGGAGGCGACCAATTATGTGTCGATAGCGGCTAGCATCAACTTGAGGTTCATCGTCACTTTTGTCTAGCTTATGGTTTTGCTCCATAGGAAAAGAACTTGGTATGCATCCTTCGAAACCACAATCTGCAAGAATGTCCAAGGTTTATTTTCTTTGGCTCAACACCAAACCTTCGACAGTACGAGCAACTTCTATGCCGAGAAAGTACTTGAGATCTCCGAGATCTTTGATACTAAATTTGTTGTCGAGTCGGTTTTGGTGTGTTGCATTTTGGTGATGTCGTTGCCAACTAAGAAGACGTCATCGACATATATGAGGCCGCTAAAAAGTTTCCTTTTCGATGGTGGATGAACAAAGAGTGGTCCGCCTTGGATTGTTTGAATTTAAGAGCAAGAAGAGCATTGGTGAACTTGTGATACTAGTTCCGCGAAGCTTGCTTCAAACCATAGATGGACTTTCTCGATTGGCCTACTTTTGTTTCACCTTCTTTAGCAAATCCTTGTGGAATTTTCATGTAAATCTCTTTAGTCAAATCACCGTGCAAGAAGGCGTTGTTCACATCAAATTGGTGGGTAAACCAATTGTTCTTGGTAGCTACTGCCAAAAGAGCTCGAACCATGACTACTTGACGGGAGCAAAAGTATCATTGATGATCTATTCCTTCTGTCTGTGTGAACCCTTTCGCTACACGACGTGCTTTGTATCTCTCAACGTCCCCATTGGGCTTGTATTTGACTTTATATACCCACTTGGAGTCAATGGCACACTTTTCCATCGGGCAAGTTTTCGAGTGCCCATGTACCATTTTCTTCGAGAGCACGTATTTATTTTCTCATAACCTCTTTCCAACGCTCGTCTCTGATGGCCTGATGAAAGAATTTCGGCTCATCGGTGGAATCGATAGCCGCTAAAAAAACTTTATGAGAGTTAAAATGCTCATACGAGACAAAATTAGATAAAGGGTGCACCGTCGAGGAAGTTTGAGTTGTGGGGTTTGAGCATTGTCAACCGAAGGGGGGAGTTACACGACGAAGTCATCGAGAGTTTTGGTTGAGACCAATGTCGGTTGGGTCGACTCAGCTGATCCGAGGGGTCTGGTATCGCTTCTTCTACCTCATAATCCATGTTGCCCATGTTATTCAAGACTGGGCTGGAAGTCTCGTGATCTAGGCCTTCAGGGAGAACTTCATGACCCAAGTCATCGTCATTATCCTGCTGATCGTTCTCAGAAGGGCTACTGAAATCGAGGGGCCCATGTGGGTCATCAGTTAGGCCAATTGGTCTTGTGGATCGAAGGGATCTGTTTCCTCTTGTGTATGGGCTAATTTTTCAAAAGGAATTTTATTCTCACAAAATCGAACATCCATGGATATAATGATATTCTTCTCTTTAATGTCATAGATTTTATAACCTTTTGTACCTTGCGGGTACCCCAAGAACACCCTCGGTCTCCCCTTCACTTCAAACTTGTCTCCATTGGTTGTTGTGTTTCTATAGTAGGTTAGACACCCGAAAATCTTCATGTAACTGTGATCTGGCTTTTAATTAAAAACAATTTCGTAGGGTGTCTTGTTCCCAATGATCTTGGAAGGCAACCGATTGATGATAAACGTTGCTGTCAAGACACCTTCTCCCTAGAATCTTTTGGGTAAACTGGCTTCAAACCTTAGGGCTCTAGCGGGTTTCAAGCAAATGTCTGTGTTTTCTTTCCACAACCCCATTTTGTTGTGGTGTGTGTGCACAAGTAGTTTCAAGCAAAATCCTGTGTTCATTGTAAAACTTTAGCATGTCACTTGAAGTAAACTCACCACCATTGTCTGTATGGATTCTTTTGATGGGTTTTCCAAATTGAGTTTTTATATGTTGTGAAAACTCATCAAACGGTTGCTTGCTTCGTGCTTGAATTTTAGAAGAAAAACCCAGACAACTCAACTAAAGTCATCGAATATGGTTAGAAAATAATTTGCCCCAGAAATAGAAGGAACACGATATTTCCCCCAGATATCACAATGTATTAACTCAAAACGATCATTGGTTTTAATATTACTATATGGAAAAGGAAGTCTGGTGTGTTTTGCCTTGGAACAAGAATCACAAATCTTATCAAAAGAAATATTACTAAGAAAATCTATGTGAGTAAGTTTATCACCGGATGCGTGTCCCAATCTTTTGTGCCAGATATCCACAGTCGTAGTCATTGCCTTCTTCTCACCTCCAATCATCCCCATTCGTTACAGACCATTCTTGCACTCACCCGCACCAATCAAGCTCCTCGTCTGAAGTTTCTGCATGACATAAAAATCCAGAAAGAATGTTATAGCGGACTGAAGAACCATGCTCAGTCTACTAACGGATAAAAGATTACAAGTAAATTTGGGAATGTGTAAGACTCCTTTATTTTAGTTCTTCCTGGCAAAAGACATTCTCCTTTCCTTTCAACCGGTATTGCATCCCCATTGGGAATGACAATCGGGGTTTTAAAGTAACTTTTGGTTTTATTTTCAAGGATACTACCATCGCAGGTGATGTGATCAGTAGATCCTGAGTCAACCACCTAATAATCATTGTCATTACCGTTACCAGTCATAAACGCCTTTTGAGCATTAACTTCCTTACTGGAGCTTTCATTTCTGAAAAGTGCTTCAAAAAATACTCATATTGTTCGTTGGTTAGTCCGAGAATTGGAGAGTTGCATCCAGGTTCGATGAAGGCGGCTTTAGGTTTTGTTTCTTCATGTTTCTTGTTTCCTGACCACCATTCTGGATAGCCTATCCGTTTGAAACAACCGTCTCGTGAATGCACATCCTTTCCATAGAAGGTGCAATGCTCGATCACGTCAACCCGTTTGGCATCCTTTTGAATCGGTTTGTCACGCTTTTGGTTCTAGTTTCCTTCTCGTCGTATCGGTACAAAAGCCTTGAAAGCAGCAACTTCGGTAGCCGACTTCTTATCTGCTGATATAGCTCTCTGGCACTCGTCCTCAGCCACGAGGTGGTACACATTCCCAAGGCTTGGTATGGGATTCATGGCGAGTATTTGGGTTTTGATCATGGAGAAGTGACTATCAAGACCCATGAGGAACTCATAGAGCCTTTCTTTCTCTCTCAACCCACTTACCTTTTTGTCGACGTCGCATGTACAACCGTTCCAAGAACACTTGGGCACCGGCAACACAGATCCAATCTCGTCCATAGGCTACGTAACTTGGTGTAGTTGACTGAAACGGTGGCTCCATTCTGATGTGTCATCAATGGGGTTTGGTTCAATTCGTATGCCCTCGGCGCGCTTTCTTTTCCAAAACGCTCCTTTAGATCAGTCCAGATCTCAGAAGCGGTGTTGGCATACTTTACCTGGATCTTATCTCCTTCTCCATCGCAGTCGTTAGCCAACCTTTC